GCGGACCCTGGGCGCCCAAAAAAAAAAAAAAAAAAAAAAGTCTACAGGAATTCCCTGGAAGTCCTGTGGTTAGGATTCCATGCTTCCACTGCAAGGGGCACAGGTTCAGTCCCTGATCAGGGAACTAAGATCCTGCATGCAGCACTGTGTGGCCAAAAAAAAAAAAAAATTCAATTAAAAAGTCTACAAATAACAAATGCTGGAGAGGGTGTGGAGAAAAGGGAACCCTCCTACACTGTTGGTGGAAATGTAAATTCGTGCAGCCACTATGGAAAACAGTATGGAGGTTCCTCAAAAAACTAAAAATAGAGTTGCCATATGATCCAGCAATCCCACTCCTGGGCATATATCCAGACAAAACTGTAATTCAAAAAGATACATGCATCACAATGTTCACAGGAGCACTATGTACAATAGCCAAGACATGGAAGCAACCTAAATGTTTATCAACAGATGAGTGGATAAAGAAGTGGTGTATATACACAATGGAATACTATTCAGCTATAAAAAAGAAAGAATGCCATTTGCAGCAACATGTATGGACCTAGAGATTATTATACTAAGTGAAGTAAGTCAGAAAGAGTACGACAAATACCATATGATATCACTTATATGTGGAACCTAAAATATGACACAAATAAGCTTATTTACCAAACAGAAACAGACTCACAGACATGGAAAACAAACTTATGGTTACCAAAGGGGGTAGAGGGTGAGGGAGGGATGAAGTGGGAGTTTGGGATTAGCAGATACAAACTACCATATATAAAAATAAACAACAAGGATATAATGTATAGCACAGGGAACAAAACTCAATATCCTGTAATAAACCGTAATGGACAAGAATATGAAAAAATAAACAAACAAAAAACCCCCTTTTCCCCTCTAAACTGCATATTGATATTAAGTAGTTAGCAGATCAAAATTGCACTTTATAGTTATCTTTCCAAATCACGTATCTGCTTATCTTCTAAAGTATCAGGTGCTTCCCAACTATGATTCAAAATAGAGAAGCCTTGGGACTTCCCTGTGGTCCAGTGGTTTAAACTCCACGCTCCCAAAGCAGGGGGCTCAGGTTCGATCACTGATCAGGGAACTAGATCCCACATGCTGCAACTAAGAGCCCTCATGCCACAAATGAAGATTCTGCATGCCGCAACTAAAAGATCCCGAGTGCCGCAACTAAGACCTGGCGCAGCCAAATGAATGAATAAATTAATTAATTTAATTTAATTAAAGAAAAAAATTTTTTTAAGTTATGAAAAAGAATGTAGACGCCCTAAAAGAATTCAATCATATTAAAAGAAAACATAAAGAAGAGAAGAAGGGCACATAA